GCTCCTTCTGTAGCCGGCCTCTCACAGTCCGCTCTCCCCAGATTTCAAGGCTGGAGCAGACGTGGATGACCCTGCGGCAGCGACACACAGAGGGTGCCATTCTGTATGAGAAGAAACTCAAGCCTTTCCTCAAGAGCCTGAACGAGGGCAAAGGTACCTGATGTCCCGTCCCCCTGAGATTTCTGCATAGGTTTCATCCTATGAGTTCCCAAAGACTCTTCTGGGTGGCGAGGATAAAAGCTTGACTCTGTGCCATGGGGTAGCCATGTATGCTCAGTCACGTACAGGGTAGGGTTACCAGGGAAAGAAAGGACTGTCTTGGGTGACCTGGGTGGTCCTCCTGGGGCCTCAGGCATCTCTGGGGTTGTAGTGGGTGGCAGGATCTTCAGGTCTAAGTGCCTGCTGCCCCTCTCTACAGAAGGCCCGCCTCTGAGCAACACCACCTTTCCACATGTACTGCCATTCATTACTTTGCTGGAGTGTGACTCTGCCCCTGCCGAGGGTCCTGAACCTTGGGGCAGCACAGAACATGGTGTGGAGGTTGTGCTAGCCCACCTGGAGGCCGCCCGCACTGTTGCACACCATGGGGGCCTCTACCACACCAACGCTGAGGTCAAGCTGCAAGGTGAGTAGCTGTCATGTCCTGCTGTCCCTGGCTTCCCTTCATCTGCCTCTACCTATGCCTCTCTGTCTGCAAGCATGAACTGGTATCTTCCACTCCTCTGTCTTGACTCCTGGCTCCTTTATCCCAATGGTCTTGTCACTCATAGGCAGTTGTTAGTGAGGGCATCAGGTGAGGTGGGCTGAGAGACACTCAACACCTTTACCACGTGTTGCAGCCGACTGCACCTCACTGTTCTCACTGTCTTTCCATAGCTTGTTACAAGGTGCCCAGCCAAGGCCCAGCATGAAGAAAGACCTGCCTGGTCTTCAGGGAGCCTTGGCTGGGGAACATAGAATTCTGGGAAAGGAACAGAGAAAGTGGCTTCAAACAAAGGCTTTTATTGCCTCGAGCATTATTTAAATCACAAAAACATCTAGAGGACTGGGGATGTGGCTTAGTTGGTAGGATGCTTGACCAGCTTACAAAGCCCTGGACTTAATCCCCAGGACTGCATACAATGCATAAACTGGGAGTGTGGGCCTCACAGTCCCAGCACTCTGATAGAGGCAGGAGTACCAGGAGTTCACTCTTATCCCCAGCTGCGTACCAGATTCAAAGTCAGCCCATAATCCAGGCAGTTCTCTGACTTCATGGCCAGCCTGGTCTACACAGAAAGTTCCAAGCCAGTCAGGGCTACATAGGGAGACTGTCTCAAAAAAAAAAAAAATTAATAATAATGAAAAAAGATTTAGAAAATTATTCACTTGCCCAGAGATGTATGATATGAATTCTGGTATATCGTTTTCATCTTTTTTTTTTCCTCAGAAAGAAAAGAATTATATGCACTTTAAAAATGTGTTTCTTTCAAAAAATGAAACTTACAGAAAAATACAAGAAAGATCTTCTGAGATCTCATCTCAGAGTTACAGGGCTATTTTACATTTTAAGGGCTGAGGAGATAGCAGACTGAGGAGCAGCATCTGCCTAGATACACAAAGCCCTCTGTCTCATGCCAGCACCACATGCACAAACACAAATTATTGTCTAGTTCTTTTTTTTTTTTTTATAGATTTATTTATTTATTTATTTTATGTATACACTGTGGCTGTCTTCAGACATACCAGAAGAGGGCATCAGATCTCATTATAGATGGTTGTGAACCACCATGTAGTTGCTGGGAATTGAACTCAGGACCTCTGGAAGAGCATACAGTGCTCTTAACCACTGAGCCATCTCTCCAGCCCCCTATTGTCTAGTTCTTTAAAAATCGTAAGTTGTAATTAGATGAAGAAAGACTAGGTGCTACCTGCAAGGTCTTGATCTTCAGTACATTTTGTTGGGTCCTTGCGGGGCTAGGGAAAGATCCCTGTGAGCAGGCCCTGAAGTGAAGAGATTCCTGAGCCTGTCTTCCCACCCTGCAGGGTTCCAGGCCCGACCTGAGCTCCTGGAGATGTTCAGCACAGAGTTCCAGATGCGTCTCCTCTGGGGCAGCCAGGGTGCCAACAGCAGCCAGGCCTGGCGCTATGAGAAGTTTGAGAAAGTCCTCACTGCCTTGTCCCTCAAGCTGGAACCTGCCATCCGTTCTAGCGAGCTGTGACCCCGGAGATCTTGCCTCTCTGCAGCTGCGGGCAGCATCAGGGGCAGAGAGGCTCAGGACATTCCCTCCAGAGCACCACAGGGACACTGTGATCAGCCCAAGAATGTTCTGGGTTCAAATCCAGGATCTCCCTTGCACTTCCAGGGTCCTGAATGGACTCCGAGCTCATTCTTCCGCCACACACACACCAAGTCTCCCTTCCAAATGGACAGGAACCTTTGCTCCTCCCACTGGCTTGAGCTGGCCCCTATTTTGCTGAGGTTCCCTGTTTTTGAGCCATGGGAGGCTCCCCACTCCTTGTCCTTCCTCCAGGCATCTATGCCTAGAGGTGCTACGGCCTCCATCTTACTGTAAATACGTCTGATGTAAATGTATGTACAGAAGCCACCTCTCTTTCATATAATAAACTTTAATGACTCTTTCTTCTGTCCCATAAGGCCTGGGTGGAAAAAAGCACTTTCTGCGTGTGGGGGGGAGGGGGGATGGGGGATGGTCCAAAACATCAGTGAATGCCTGGTTAGCACCAAACACTTTCCAGATGACTGAGTTTACAGCAGACAAGCAGCCCCTCCTGTCGGTCATGAGCTCAGGTATTAGCAGGAGAGATGGTCAGTTCAAAGTACAAGTACAAGTACAGTACAAGTAGGCCTACCCCAGTCTTCTCTGAGCCCAGGGCTTGTCCAGAGAAATCATAGTCCCCTGACCCAACCCCATCCACAGGCAAGAAGTTCAGAGTTTGGGGTAAAAGGGTTTTTAAAAGTCTAGAGGAAGCCAGGCAGTGGTGGCGCACGCCTTTAATCCCAGTACTTGGGAGGCAGAGGCAGGCGGATTTCTGAGTTGGAGGCCAGCCTGGTCTACAGAGTGAGTTCCAGGACAGCCAGGGCTACACAGAGAAACCCTGTCTCAGAAAACAAAGCAAAACAAAACAAAAGAAAAGTCTAGAGTTCAGGAGAGATGGTTCAGTGTCCAAGAGCACTGGCTGATCTTCCAGGAGACTCAGGTTCAATCCCAGCAACCACATTGTAGTTCATAATCGAACTCTAGTGCTAAGGTGTCTGAAGCCCTCTTCTGACCTTCAGGCATGCGTGCGTGTGCACGCAAAATAGCCATACGAGTAAAATAAATTTTAAGTTAAAAAAAATCTTTAAACTGGGTTTAGTAATTGACACCTTTAATCCCATCACTTTGAACTCAGAGGCAGGCAAATCTTGGACTTTGAGGGTCCCCAAAGCTGCTTAGTGAGGACCCCCCACTTCAAAAAAATCTTTATAAATAACGAAACCTAGGATCTCAATTGCCCTTACAGATGGACACCTGGTGGGCGAAGGGACTTTTTTTTGTTATAATAACAGAACAAGCAGGCAGATGAGGAAGAGATGGTGGCTGGTGGTGATCACAGGCTAGGTCCCGGGCATCAGGAGTCTGTTTACTGAATTAGAGACACAGGGGTCCTTTGCTCTTTGACTGCCTGAGGCTGGAAACATGTGACTAGGGATATTAGATCTTCAACTGTACCTGGGGTGGGTTTAGTTCAATGACTCAGTGACCGGGAAACTTGGATAAGAAGCTTAATTTCTTGCGTTCCAAATTCAATAAAACCAGGACAATACGAGAACCCCTCTCATTGGATTTATATTAGTGTTTAGTGTGTAGTATCTAGTAAGGAAGAACAATGCTCGTGTGTGTGTGTACATATTTTTTAATTTCTTTTTTTACGCTCAGGGAAATTTTTATTAGGGTTTAAAAGAAAAACCCTAGGGCAGGCAAGGTGTAAATCCCAGAAGCTGCTTGGAGGAGGAAGATGGAGAAAGATAAAAAGCCATGTCATTTGATTTAGTTGACAGAGGCCAGCCACATGATAGTCACATAGAGGGCTTCAGTGAGTGAAAGGTGTGAGAGGTATCCTTAGAACGAAGGAGGTAGGCCGTGGTGGCTCACTTTTAACCTCAGCACTCAGAGGCAGAGGCAGGTAGATCTCTGCATTTGAAGCCAGCCTGCTACAGAGAGAGTTCCAGGACAACTACGGCTACATGGGGAAGCCCTGTCTTGAAAAGAGAGAGACGAAGGAAGAAAATGGAAACTGTCACCTTTCTGAGTTACTGAGACTTGTGAAGCTGCGCTACTGCCTGCTGATTTACTTATTTATCCATTTAGCGTGTGTGTGGACTCTGAGGTTCGAGGACAATTTGCAGGATTGGTTCTTAATTTCCACTAGGCAGGCTCTGGGGATTGAACTTGGGTCTTTAGGCTTGGTGGCACGTGTCTTTGCCTACCAAACCATCTTGCTCTCCATTTTCTGAGCCAAAACACTTTATGTGACCACATCTCATTGAGTTGACCATTTCTCTCTCCTCCCTCCCTCCCTCCCTCCCTCTCTCTCCCCCTCCCGTGTGTGTGTGTGTGTGTGTGTGTGTGTGTGTGTGGTGCTGTTACAAGACGTGTAAGGTCTTGTAAGGCCTGACACTGGTAGAGACATTGTCAAAAAGCTGTTGTGAGTGCTCTTTTGTCACATTTTTAAAAAGAGCTTGGAAAAGTCTCTTAGGAAAGTGCAAGTTTCCGCACAAGTTTTTGTTATTACTGTTGTCTCACTTTCTTAACAATCTTTTATTCTTTCTGAGGTAAGGTATCAGGGCTGCTAGTTACCCGTGACCATGACGACGCGGGACTGGGTGGCTCGCGGGCTCCCCCATGAGGCCTATTTGGGGTACTGCCGCAAGACAACCCGTCCGGTTTTAGAGACCCGAGGAAGGGGAGCCGGGAGTTGTAGGCAATGGGCGTGGCAGCCACGGAGCGGTGCACACCGGGAGCTGTAGTTCACAGGTTTTTGGCGGTGGGCGGCCTCTGACCGAAATCGGGCCTCAACCGGATGGCGGTGGCGAGGCACGGCTGCCGGCCCTGGGGCTCGATTCTCGGGCTGCTCGGGCTGGCCTTGGCTGCCGCCGCCGCCTGGGACGTGACTTCTCTGCGCTGCAGCTTCGGCTCGTTCTGCGAATGCGACTTCTGGCCCGACTTGCCGGGTGAGGGGTGGGAGCCGGGACGGAGGGGCGGGAAGCCGAGAGCTCGCAGGGGGTCGAAACATCTGCGGCCCCGCCGCCCGGGGCTGGCAGAGGTGGGGATCCGAGAGCCTCTGGTACAAACCTTAGGCGAGGGTTTGGAGGTTGCCCGGTGGAGGGAAGCCTTTGACAGCGGGGCGCCCGGTGGCTTGTGGTAGGCCTCCCTTGTGCAAGACTTGTCACTCCGGGGAGAAACCTGTGGTCGGCTGAACCTGTAGACAGCTGTCATCGACACGGGGCTGGTGCAATCTGGAGAACCGCCTCGAGGGGGCGGTGCCGCACTGGCCCTTGCTGCTCCTGTCCCTCATTTGGACACGTATCCCAGAGGTCTTAGACATGCCTACCTCTGATGCTTTTTTTTTTTGGGGGGGGGGGCTCGAGACAGGGTTTCTCTGTGAGGCCCTGACTGTCCTGGAACTCATTCTGTAGACCAGGCTGGCCTCGAACTCAGAAATCCGCCTGCCTCTGCCTCCCAAGTGCTGGGATTAAAGGCGTGCCCCACCACTCCCCGGCTGGCCGCCCTGCTTCCTCTGATGCTTTTTGTTTGTTTTTCAGACAGTCTTTCTACATTGATTAGGCTGTTCTGGACCTCACTATGTGGACCAGGCTGTTCTCAAACTCACAGCGATCCACTTGGCTCTGCCTCCAGAGTGCTGAGGAATTAAGGGTTCACACTATAATATCCTGACTGATTTTTTAAAAATATTTATGCTTTGCCTGTAGGTATGAGCACTTCCGTGTGCCCATGGAAGCTAGGTGTTGACTCCTTTGGGATGGCGTTACAGAGAGCTGAGAGCCAACATGTGGGTGGCAGGAATTGAACTTATGTTCTCTGCAAGAGCAGCCAGTGTTCTTTTTGTTTTGTTTTGTTTTTGAGACAAGGTCTGTCACCATGTAGCCCTGCTTGATTGGCCTGGAACTCACTATGTAGACCAAGCTGGCCTGGAACTCACAGGAGATCTCCCTGCCTGTGCCTCCCAGCTGCTGGGGTTACAGGCGTGCTGGAATTCACTGTAAAGGCTGGCCTTTGATTAGGAGGGTTATTGCGTCTGCCTCCTAGGGGCTGAGACTACAGATGACAGCCTGTCATCTGCTTTGATATGCGTTCCTTTTGTGGCCCTAGGTCTGGAATGTGACCTGGCTCAACACCTGGCTGGCCAGCATTTGGCCAAGGCCCTGGTGGTGAAGTCACTGAAGGCCTTTGTACAGGACCCAGCCCCCAGCAAGCCATTGGTCCTCTCCCTGCACGGTTGGACAGGCACCGGGAAGTCCTACGTTAGCTCCCTGCTGGCGAAGTATCTCTTCCGGGGCGGCCTTCGCAGCCCTCACGTCCATCACTTCTCCCCCATCATCCATTTCCCACATCCCAGTCACACTGAGCAGTACAAGGTAGGCTGGGTGTGTCCTGGGTCCCCTTTCTCTGTCCTGACCCAAAGAGGGTTCCAAAATACACAGCCAGTTGGAGGCTCAGCCTTCAGAATCTATTAGGGACAGAGCTTGCCATGGCACCATGAAGAGCTTGCTCTCTGTGGTACCAGGGTGGTGGCATTCTTGGGGCCTGTGGGTCAGAGACATCATGAGAGATATGGGGATTACACAGGGCAGATATTACTTACAGGGTACCTGTGTCTGCGTTACCATCCTCTCTTAAGCTCTTAGCCCCAATTGGTGCTTGGCAAGCAAGCACTCCCTGGTGACTGCCAGCTCTGGTGACTGTTGTTCCTGATCTGTCTTAGCTGTCAACACTGTAGGGCAGATCTAACCTCCCCTGTCAGAAGTCACTAGCTGTCATCAACAGACATTTAGGGCACATATATTTGTACCCCTGTCCTCCTGTTGACTGGCTGTGTGACCTTGGACAAGTCTCTGCACCTCTCTGAACTTACCCTTTTACCATCTGTCCCAAGGGGTTGGTGCTGTCTGGAAATGTAGATCGTGTCTCTTTGGAAATTTTTCTTGGCTTGGGAAGAAGTTCCAGGTTGTGGGGAGTGTCTCGGACTCTTTTGGAATTCCTGTCTCTACCCTCATAGAAGGCGCTCAAGAGCTGGGTCCAGGGGAACCTCACTGCCTGCGGCCGATCTCTCTTCCTCTTTGATGAGATGGACAAAATGCCCCCTGGCCTGATGGAAGTCCTGCAGCCCTTCCTGGGCCCTTCTTGGGTTGTATATGGGACCAACTATCGCAAAGCTATCTTCATCTTTATCAGGTCTGGCCTCCGCTGCAAGCGAGCAGGGTGGGGGTGGGGGACACTTGTTAGAGATCCAGCTCTCCAGCTTGGGCCTGTGGCTGACTTCTTTGACATTCTCAAAGCCCTTCTGGACTCTGACTTTTAGATCCTTGCTGTTGTGTAGAATCCCAGCCTGGTCAACAGTCATCCCTCCTTGGTAGTTGAGAGGACACAAGCCTGGGAGAAAGGGACCAGTGTCCCTCCGACCCCAGCCCTGTTCCCAAGCTGTGAGTCCTTAAGCAGGAGTGCTGAGCCTCTCTGCGCTCTGCTCTCTGTTCTGAAGCTGGAGCAATGGTAACCCCCACTCTCTTCCTGCAGAAAGCTAGGTAAAGGATGCCAGAGGATTTTGTAGCCTGAGGGTGGTAACACACGCATCATCTCAGCACCCTGAAAAGTGAGTCAGGAGGATGGCTTCAAAGTTGAAGCTAGCCTGGGCTGCTATAGTAAGAACCTGTGTCAGCCCTCACCCCAGATTGCTCTGTGAATTGTAAAGTGCATCACATATACATGTTACGGTGACTTGGTTGTCACGGGGAGAAGGAAGTGTGCCATTCTGCTGACCCTGAGTCATGTTAGGTGTGACCCTCTAGTTCTTCAATGAGTCTCAGCCTAGCTTCTTGTGATTTTAGCAATACTGGTGGTGAGCAGATCAACCAGCTGGCCCTGGAGGCGTGGCGAAGCCGCAGGGAGAGGGAAGAAATCAGCCTTCAGGAGGTGGAGCCAGCAGTCTCCCAGGCTGTGCTGGACAGCCCTCACCGTAAGTTGGCTCAGGGACCAATGTTTGTAGGGCCTTCACACTTAAGTTTAGTGGGCTGGATGCCTAAATCTGAAGCACTGTCCACTGCACTGTAGTCCCCCACACACAAGCCCCCAGGCTTCTGCACACACAGCTCAGTGACCTGAGCAAGGCATGTCACAGCCCCAATTATACCACCACTAGCCCTATGAGGCATGGATTCCCGACTTGGGAAGCTTACCATTGCTTCTGTGCCTACCTGCAGATGGCTTCTGGCGGTCAGGCATCATGGAAGAACACCTGCTGGATGCTGTGGTGCCCTTCCTCCCACTCCAGCGGCATCATGTGCGCCTCTGTGTGCTCAGTGAGCTGGCTCAGCTGGGCCTGGAGCCCCGTGAGGAGGTGGTCCAAGCTGTGCTGGACAGTACCACCTACTTCCCTGAGGAAGAACAGCTCTTCTCCTCCAATGGCTGCAAGACAGTGACCTCCCGGATCACCTTTTTCCTCTGAGAACCCTAGGTGGCGTCACTGCCTCCTCTGCCTAGACAGAACAAACAAGAAAGCCTGGCTGTCTCCTGGAAGAATTCTTTCCTAAGCTGGCTGGCAAGTGGGACCCAGAGCACAAAGTTAAGATGAAGAAAGAAAGGTGTTGGCCAGGCCAAGGAAGAAATGTCTAGAAGCATCTTTTCCGGGAAATTCCTGGGTACCCCAGAACCTCACAGCCTTGCCCTTGCCCTGCAGTCTGAGCCTGGGCCTTCTCAATGTGAACGGCAACTCAGGGACGAAGGCTCGTGGCTACTTCCAGCTGGGAGCTCTTTTACTGGCATGCCTTGTCTGGCTCCTTTCCCAGATCTCAGTTCACAGCTTGTGGCTGGACCTGGCATTCCAGCTAGGCCAGGCTAATACCTCGCAGTTTCACCAAATGGAAGGACTCAAGCTGCTGCCTGGGCCTGGATTTCAAAGTTTTTAATTTTGTACAAGAAGAGAACAGAGATAATAAACTTAGCCATGGTATCAGAACGTTGACTAAAGTTTCTTACTGTCCTGGGAGGAGACACCTTTGCTGAAATCTGTTCACTGCTTGGCAAGGGCTTCATTGGCCCTTTGAGGGAGTAGTATAATGGCCATGGCTGAGTGTGTCTCCTGGTAACTGTTGGACTTCCTTAGTTAAAAGGTTAGTCAGTTCCATGAAGCTTTCACTGTTGTTGAAATCTGTTGACGGGCTCTCACTGAAGCTTGAGGTACCATCATCCTTGCTGGGCCCTGGAATCGGGCCCGGGGGCTCATTGGCTCTGCCCATGGTCTCACCGCTGTCCGGGCGGGTTGTGCTGGAAGTCTTTGTTAGTTTCTGACTGCTGCTCTGGGCCTTGAGTTTCCAGCCCTGGGCTCGAACAGCCTTAGCTCTTCTCACTCTCTCCTTTAGGCTCAGGGTCGACCTGGACTTGCTGGGCTTTGGGCCCACAGGGACTTCTGTCGTGCTGGTGCTCTGGCTGGGATCCTTGGGAGCCTCTGTCTTCCTGGGCTTTGGGCCTTGGGTGGCCTTTGCCTTTTTGGTGGGACCCCTTTGGCCATCAGCAGGTGTGATCTCAGTGAAGTTCTGGCTTACGTACTCCGAGACCACCTGGACAACCTTGGGGCCCCAGGTCAATTCTGAGTTCTTCTTGGATCCTGAGGACTGTGGCTTTGGCAGAATGGACTCAGAGGATGCTATAGCTGTGTGAGAGGTACTCCTATACTCATCACTGGATGACATCTCCGGCCCCGACGTGCTGATGCTCACAACTGCAAAAGTGTGTCAGGAGCAGTCACTGGCCTCTCTAGGCAGCTATGGGAAGACAGAGCTTCCAGGCAGCCTCCAGCCCATAATCCCGAGGCCTACCAACTCCCACCAGGTCCACCTTCTCAATGTGTCTGGGCTGTGGGGTGACAAGAAGCTGCCCAAATGGCACTGAGCCAGCCTACCTTCTCTTTGAGCTCTCCCCAGCCCTGTTCTCCCACAGGCCTCTGAACTCTGCCCCAGTCTATCTTACATGCAGCTGATTCCAACTCTTCTTTCAGCTCCTTGAAGCCCACCCTGACCCCTCTAAAGGTCTAATCACACTCTGCCCTCTAAGCTTCACTCCCATTTGCCCAGCTGGCTGTTCCCCCCAAACCCCAGCAGCTGACTTAGGATTCACTTCCTGGGGCCAGGACCGAGTCAGTCCCTCATCCCCATCACTAGTGGTTGGTACAGGCCTGCCCTGGGGCACTTGGGCCACCACAGTTTAGGGGATGATAACCAAATGAAAGGAAGGGGACTAATACGGCCCCCTTGCACCAAGGAGCATTCAACAGCCCCACACCAGGGGGCGCTAGGGAGCAGCCTTCTTGCTTTGTCCTTTTATCCCCTCTTGGCTGGTGATAGCAAAACTGGGAGTCAAAACCTGATGGATATGCATGAGGTTTGTGGCTTAGTTCAGGGACAAACTGAGGAACAGAGAGAAAGAACAGGCCGCAGGCCGTGGAGGGTGACTGCCCTGTGCTGCCCACCATCCCACTAAGTCTCCACAACATCACTTGTGAGGTTGGAACAAAGCTATCCAGGGCAGAACCTAAGGTCAGGCTCAGTACTTGGCCTCTCTGTTGCTTTCTGCTAGGCTTAGCAGGAATGGTAAGGACTTACGGCTGAAGACGGAACCTGAGGAGGTCTGGTCCACATAGCTGTCTGTCAGAGATGACCTCCTGCGAGAGATCGTCACCTATAGCAAGAATCAGGTTGAGGAGCTGCAGATTGGTAGACTCCTGCACCCACATATGTTTGCAAGGTCACAGGACAGTCTACCCAATTTTTTTTTTCTGTCTAAGACAGGGTTTCTCTGTGTAACCCAGGCTGTCCTGGAACTTCATTAGAAGACTAGGCTGGCCTGGAACTCAGGGATCTGTTTGTCTGTGCCTCCCGAGTGCCGGGATTAAAGGCGTGTGGCTGTGCCACACAGCTAGCAGTCGTTTCTTAAAAAGATTTACTTTCCACTTTTTAAAATGTATATGCATGTACATTTTACATGAGTCTGTGTACACAGACTCAGGTGCTCATGAGGGTCAGAACAACATTGTGGATGGAGCTGGACTCACAGGCATTTGTGCGGAGCTCAGTGTAGGTGCTGGAGACCAAACTCAGGTCCTCTACAGAAGCAGAATTAACTTAACCACTGAGCCATCGCTCCTCCCAACCCATTTTGATGTTGTTGTGTTGTTTTGTTGTGTTTTTCCAATTAAGCATTCTTTCTCCCACGTTTAAGAGTTCTTCACAAGGCTGCATGCCGTGTGTGGGAGAACTCGAGGGTGGGGAGGTGGGAGTGGGGGGGTAGGTAGGGGCACATCCTCATAGAAGCAGGAGGAGGGACGATGGGATAGGGGGTTCCTGGGTGGGGGGGGATGGGGTAAAGGAATAGCATCTGAAATGTAAATAAAATATCCAATTAAAAAAAAAAAGAGTTCTTCACAGAGACTTGGTTAGGATGGATGGGAAGGCCAACAGGCTAAGACTGCAGGCAGGACATTTAGTCAGGCCAGACAGGCATCAGACCCTAGAAAGGTAGTGCAGGATGAACATTGGTTCACATGAGGCCAGGCTTCTGTAAACTAGAGTGTCGAGTCCTGGGAAATGCAAGTTAGGAACTGAGAAGTCTCACAGCACACTCTTGGGTTCCTGGTGGGCTACTTCTGCTATGCCTGTTTCATAGTGCGGAGGACCAAGTCTCTGAGCCCTGAAGTAGCCTGCTGAGGGGATAACAGCTTTATATACAGTAGGACTGGTGCCCTTCTCCACCCACGATCACATTTGTAGCTGGGGAGAAAAACATAAAGCTCACAGGCACCTGCCAGCCGTCCTGTTTGGCCTTGTACTGTGCCCATCTCAGTTTATCTCCCAGAGAGATGATGCTCACAATGACCTCAGGGGTGCACAGGTGCATGTTCTCTCCTATTAACATAAACTAGGAAGGGCACTGGTACAGCATTCGCTACCGCTGTGTGACCCTTATAAATGTAACACTTAGGGAAAGGACCCAGAGATGGGACAGCAGACCATACTTGTTCATTTAAAACAAAGGTAAGTCTCACATATAGAGTTAGGAATTGGGGCAGCCTTGTGTAGAAGTCGGGGGTGGGGCAGGGGCCTAAGAGGGTGCATGCCCAAACAGCCTAATGGGAACTGAGAATGTGTTTATTGACTTGGGTGTTGAGGCCACAGCACACTCTGTTTGTGAAAATTCAGCTGACCCTTCACTTAAGACTTGTGCACTTAAGAACGGTTGTGGTGGCTCATGCCTATAGTTCCGTTGCTTTGGAGTCTAAGGTGAGAGGACTGCTGTAAGTTTGAGTCCAGCCTAAGCTAAGTTCTAGGTCAGCTGAGTTACAAAGCAAGACACTGGCTCAAAAACAAACAGGTGGGGCTGGAGAGATGGCTCAGCGGTTAAGAGCACTGACTGCTCTTCCGGAGGCCATGAGATATGTAGGTCAAGCACCTAGTATGCAAGCTTGAGCACCTGAGTTGAAATTCCCGGCACACATATACAATCTGGACTGGCTACGTGCACCTGCAGCCCCAGCACTGGTGTGGAGTGGACAAAGTGGAGACAGGAGGTTTCTGAGGCTGCCTTAGTCCCAGTAAGGCGGAAAATGATAGGGAAGGAGGGACACCCACCATCCTCCTGTGGCCTCCACATGGGCATGTGTCCTACACAGACAACACAAGCAACCTGCTCCACCCCCGACAGTGTATTTTTCTATGCTAGACAATGGAAAGACTATAGGGCCAGTTTAGTAAGGAAGGCAAGGCACAGTGGCCAGTGTCCCAAGCAGTAAATGATCATGCAGACCCTCACTTGTGTGTCTCCATCTCAGACGAGGGTGGGTCAGGCTCACATTAACTCCAGGAGCCTCAGGACTTCCACTCACCTTTTTGGCCTCTACCACCTGCGGAGCCTGGAAAATAGTCACTTCCTCTTCAGGGGTCTCAGGAAGTTCATGCTTCCAGGATTTCACCAGGGCTCGGGCTTTCTTACGTTCCATTAACCGCTGCCTATCAAGTTATGGTCCCAGGGCTCTTGATCAGTCTCTGGAGTCTGAATTGCTGTCCCCAGAGACCAGGCAGTGCAAGCCCTACAAAGCAGCTGGCCAAGAGGAGTTCCAAGTCCCCACCAGTTCCCACCCCTGGTCAGAAGTCCCTGTTCCACACACAAGCTTACACCACAGTGCTTTGAGGGTAGATGTTCTTCGGCCCATTTTCTATCATCCTACTTAGCTGGAGCTTAGCCAGTTCGGCCACTTGGCTCTTAAGCACATTCTCCACAGCCATGCCAGGAAAGAGGCTGTTCATCATTCCAGACATCTGCCAGGAAAAGAACCAGAGATGGAACAGTAAACAGAAGGTTAGTGCTACCTTGACCTCGGATGAACAGGGGGAGACATCTGTAGACTTCCTAAACTAGGGCCTTTTAACCCAGAAGGAGCAGACCATGAGAAGTGGACAGTTCCCCAATGGGGAGCCAGGCAGGACAGGGACTGGCTTCTGAACAATAAGGCCTGTCTGAGTCTTACTGCACCTGAGGGCAGGAGGAGGACAGTAACACTAGTGAGGAGGCAGGCTACTGGGGGTAGCAGCTCAATGTCACCGGTCTCTTTTAGGGACAGGATAAGAGCCTTTCTGGCTCAGCAGGAGCCCACCTTTGGATAGTTGGGGTTCAGAAGCAGTACAGTAGCAACATCCTGGCGGGCCCCTATAATGTTCTGCAGGAACTGTCGGCACTTGGCCCGGTGCAGGTAGTACTGGGGTTTCCGAGGGTTGTGCCTTATGGCCTCCGAGAAGTGCTCCTCTGCTGTCTGGAACTGCCTGAGGGACATGCCCAAGGCTGCCATGAACTGCCAGGAAAGGTGGCAGCTACTGGGCACCAAGGAGTTGAAGGAAAACTAGGAGCCTCTGTTCCTGGCCTATTCTTCTCGCCTGCCTCTGTCAGCCATACCCTTGATGGACCTGACAGTTGAGTACTATAACTTTGGTGTACCCTATTTTTTTGTTTTATTTAAATATTTTGAGACAGGGTCTCCATACATAGCCCTGACTTTACTGGAACTCAATATGTAGACCAGGCTGGCCTTGAACTCTTAAAGATCCACCTGCTTCTACCTTCCAAGTAACATGGGCCACTACACCTGGCCCTAGCATTTTAAAGAATGTTTATGGCTGTTTTCCCGTGTGTGTGTTTGTGCATCATTTGCATGCTTAATCACTTGGAACTGGGACAGCGAATGACTGTGGGTGCTGGAAACCAACCTAAGTCCTGGAGGAATTGTTAGAGGGAGGCTAGTTGGGAGGGTAGGTAGGTCTCGAAAGTAACATTCTGAATCATACATGATTGAATATTTAATTTTTTCATTAAAAAGCTTAATTTACTAAAATAATCAAATTTATATTTGTGGTGAAGATGCGAATAAAATCTCTGTCCAGAAGACATCTGTGGCTTCTGATGAGCCCTTTCCCAGCCAGCTCTGCGCTTAGCTATGCCCTCCTCGGCCACGCCCTTCTCCCCACCTGCCTGTGACTCACCTGTGTCTCTGCTGGCAGAAGCCCATCTTCTCCTGCAGCACACCCATGCGCAAGTTGGCTCCTTCATCCAGTGGGCTCAGAGCCAGCGCTTGCTTATAGTCTGCCTCCGCGAAGGCCAGGTTGCCCAGCTGGAAGAAGCAATCTAGGACCCGAGGGCGAAGTCTGAGTGCATCCTCAACTCCCTGAGCAAAATTAGGGCCCAGTCTGGACTCCTTGGGCAGATAGCAAAGGCCCGACCACCACCCAGCTCACCCCCACGGTTGATGTACAGGCCCTTCTCGTTCTGCTCATCTCTGATAGCTTTGTTCAGCAGCAGCACACCCTCCTGATAGGCACCATGGATGTAGCAGTGCACAGCAAAGTCGTTGTAAGTCAGTAGCAGCTGGCGCTGTGCCTGTTTCACTAGGCTGTCCTGGGTGTCAGTCATCATGTCCAGTGCCTTCAGGAAGTCTTCCACAGCTGGGTCAAATTGCTGGAGCCTTCTGCGCAAGGTGCCCCTATTGTGGTGGACAGGGCAGGTAGCAGGGAGGGACACAGGGCTAGAGCGTCCCATTTGTCGAGAAGGCTGCTGCCCACCCTGGACCTTCTGACCCATGAGACCCGTGTGACTCTATTCATAAATTCTGCCTCAAGCCCTAGGTCTATCCTCTGGGGCTGGCCCGAGAATGCTGCCTGGATAACATATTAGTCCTCTGGGTTTGTTATTTCCAGTTTGAAGCCATGTATGTGGCAGCGTCTATGTTCAGTATAACTTCGTGTACTTAGTTTATGGGAATTTTATGTTTCTGGGAATTGAACTCAGGTTGACAGATTTGTTCAGCAAGCTACTTTACCTCCTGAGGCATCGCATGCCCCTGTTCAAGCCTTTGTGTATGCACACTTTAGTCAACTATCTAGATGAGAAAATCCAGGATTAGGGAGATTGAATGGCACCAAATCCTTGGGGGACTAGATATAACCCCTAGTCTCATGCCTTCCCAACAGGAACTACTCAGCAGGCCTGGCTAGAGTCCTAAGATTCCCAGGTTACCATGGAGACCACCTCTATGGTGCCATGACCCCAGTCAGAAGCAGGAAAAAGTTTATTAGTGGTTAGAGAAACTGAAGTCTGTCAGGGTCAGAGACTCTCCTGAGACCATAAAGCAGGTCTGCAGAGGCCCAGTCCCTCTGGACCCTGGTACCGGAAGAGGAAGAAGCTGGGATCCAAGGGGTTGTTCTCAATGGCACAGCTGATGCACTTCAGCGCACGGTGCAGCTTCCCCTGCACAGCCAGGATGCTGGCATCTTGGCGAGACTGCTTGGCCTGGTCTACCATCTTCTGGAGCAGCCCTTTGGCTTGTGCGTGCATGGGATCTAGGAGCAGGGCGCATCGAAGGTCCTGATAGCAAAGCTTGGCCTGCAGGGGTGGAGGGGTGGCACCATCTCAGTAGTGGGTAGAGGAGGGCAGGCCTCTAGGAAACAAGCTACCACCACATCATTCCTCCTGTGTCCCTGCTCGCCCGGCATTACTGTGCTACATTTCTGGCTCTTGAATGAGGCAGTCCCCAGCCTCCACATCAATAGCTCCTTTCCAGGTATAACTTAGGTGAGGCAGGTCAGCCTTGGTGATTTGTGCCATCTTATCTCCTAGTAGGAGTCCTGTGGTGAGGGGACTGTGTGGTCTCATCCTCTCCTGCATCCTTTCTCCGTTCCCTGTCCTTTACATCCACAGCAGCTGTGATCAAGGGCAGACTGAGGTCTGGGTGTGAGCAGAGACTATCCCTAGGCAAATGCCTTTCACCGGTGTGCAGGTTAGCCCAGTCAACAGTCTTAGCAAGCACCTCGCTGCCCTGTGGGTAACTGGTTAGAGGGTAACCTGGGAGGACTGGGGAGTGGCTGAGGTGGGCTTGGGCTGGAGAACTGGCTGGCCGGCCCTGGTCAAGTCACTTCTGGGCTGTTTGACTGTTCACCTTCCTTCAAGGGTTCTTGGCAGTCTTGAGGATGAACCTGGGCAAAGGTCTGGTTCAGACCAGCCTTTCACAGGACACAAGTGGAGGCAGGGACCAGCAATAAATATGAAGAATAGACTCTTGTCTTTGAAGGAGACTCCCACTGTATGATGCTACAGCCCAGCCTCTGGCTAGAACCTGCCTGGCCACCCTTACTCGGCCACTCCCCATCCTGGCCTGGTAAAATGAAATGAACCTACCCTTCCCCCTCTCATCCTCTCTGGCTCCTCTCCATCTTGTTGGCACCCCCACCCCCATTTACCTAGAATGCCTACATTCTCCTCAACCTACTCCTGTGACCCTGTATCCCTGCACCCCTGCACCCAGTGTCCCCAAGCTGTTCCCTGCACTCTGTTCCCATGCTCAGCCCAGCAGGGAGGCAAGGAGCTTTAGAACGTGTCCACTGTACAAGGATGAAAGGAAGGCAGGTGCTGGGCATGGTGGTGCACGCCTTTAATCCCAGCAGAAGCAGGTGGATCTGTGAGTTCTAGGACAGCCAAGGCTACACAGAAAAACCCTGTCTCAAAAACCCAAAAGAACCCCCCTCCCAAAAAAATCACCACCACCACCACCAACCCAAAACAGAACAACAAACAGAAGGAAAAGAAAGAGAGAAAGAAAGAAAGAAAGAAAGAGAAAAAGAAAGAGAAAGAGAAAGAAAGAAAGGAAGGAAGGGAGGGAGGGAGGGAGGGAGGCAGGCAGGCAGACAAGAGGAAGAAGCACTTCAGCTAGAGTCTATGGTGTCCTGGATGTCACACAGCTGAGAGCTGTGGACATGGCTCAGACCACTGCCTGAGTAGGCAGGGCCCTTAGGTGCTGTGTGGAGAGCTGGCCTTGCCTCCTTTATCATCTTGGGACACACAAGGGGTCAGGGGGTCGAGGGGTCGGCGGGGTAGGGAGTGCCGCTGTCCCACCCACTGTGCACTACCTTCTGGAAGAAATTGTAGAGCCGAGCCCGGAGGATGTAGACATCAGCGCTGGCCCGGCCCTGCTTTACCTCCCTAGTGATGAGGGCAAGGCAGTCATGATGCCGCTTGAGGGCCAGCAGGCAGGCCATGCTGGGGGCAGAGGGCAGACGGCACTCAGCCTGGGGCAGTGAGAGGCTGCTGCCGGGAGAGGGCAAGGTATGAGGGGCTCACCATCGGTAACTGAAGGAAGCGTTTTGGGGCTGGAGGTCTGAGGCTTGCAGGAAGACACACAGGGCTTCCTGGAAGTCACACAGGTCATACAGACACTGGCCCTGAGGAGACACAACTGTCAGTTCTGCTCAGAATTCCAGCTCTGCTAAACGCAGGCCACGCTGGTGGCAGAGGACAGAGGCAGAGACTTGGATGGATACAGAGCTGGAAGGAGATGCAGAGCTGAGCAGAAAGACACCAAGAAACATGGAGGAATACAGCAACACAGAGACTCCAGACGGAAGGGGGCAGCAGGTGAGAGCGGCGTGGCTCTGGCCCAAGGTCGAGAATTTACAAGCATTCCCGGTTCAGATGAAAGAATTAAGTCTCAGGGAGGTCAAGTGACTCCCCGAAGGTCACACAGGAAGTGAGCTAGCAGGACACAGGCCCTCAACAGTTCCATCAGTTATTTGAATGCCTTGAGGGCTCTCCTGCCTTGTCTGATATATTTGTCTTATTAATGCTTCACAGTGTAACTAATACTGGCCAGGAACTGTGCAACCTGGGCAGACTTTGAACTCAGGATAATCCTCCTGCCTCAATTTCTAGAGTGCTGAGTGTACAAGTCTGAGCCATCATGTCTGGCCCAATGTTTCTTTTTTATTACATGTGCTTATTCTGTGCGTGAGTGGGGGTGGGCACACGTCACAGCACACGTGTGGCAGTCTGTTCTTTCCACCATGTGGATCTCAGCTATCGCACTTAGGTAGTCAGGCTTAAAAGGCAGATGCTCTTATCTGCTCAGCCATGCCACTGACCACCACTGCTTCTGTGAAAGAACTGAGTGATTTGGTATTTTGTGGTATTGGTGCTTGGACTTAGACCTCTGCCATACTAGGCAAATGGTCTACCACTGTTACCCCCAACTCAACTTCTATCCAATATTTGACTTTTAAAAGACACTGACAGTAGTTAGATGATTCAGTGGATACAGACACTCTGTCATCAGGCCTGCCGATGCCCAGGACCCACCCACAAGGTACAAGGAGACATCTGACTTCTGTGAGTTGTCTTCTGACCTCCCTATGCACACAGATGCACACATACACGCATGCACACACACACACATGCACAAGTAAATGTAAGAATAAATGTTAAGCAATTAAAATTTCACTTAGTACTTAGAGCCCTTTGTATGCCTAGCTGGGATCCTACCACTGAGCCACACCCCCACTGACCCACCCAAATCAAATTTAAAATTTAGTTCAGTCATATTCACCACATTTTAAGGGCTCAGCATTTCCATGTGGCTAGTGGTGACACTATTGGACAGTGTGGCGTAATCAGAACCTTACTGTTGATGTTCTATTTAGATACCCCCGGCTAAATTAATAAATCAGTGATGGGGGCAGCAGATGTGGACAGACACACAGACCAGGAGTCCCAAGAACTCAGATCCTATCCCAGGAAGGCTCCCTGTAGGTGGAGAGCAAGCCAGTAGCTGTGGATAAGGTGAGAACTCCTCTGTGGGTGGGGTAGCCTAGGCACCTGTAGGTAGAGCACAAAGGCCAGCCGATCCAGGTATCTGTTATTCCCTGGGTCATAGGAGTAGGCCCTGCGGAGGTTCTGGAGGGCAGAGGAGAAATCACAGAGTTGGATGAAGGCCTCAGCACGGAATACATAGAAGTCTACCTGAAGGCAAAGAGACCCCAGCTGTTATTTCCTCTCCAACATCTTCCCCTCCAGGTGGCTCCAGTATCTGGTGGTCCTGGGATTGAAGGGCTTAGCAGGTTTGACAGTGACAGAAGGGGAGTCTTAGCCAGCCAGTTGCTTCCAGGGACCACTCTGACTCTCCTCTTACCAGTTTGGGGTCCAGGTGGAGGGCACGGGAGAAGAACAGGACAGCCATCTCCCAGTCCTCTTGTAATAGGCACTGATGGCCTTGGTTGTAGCTGTGGGGACAGGAAAGGACAGGCAGTGGAGCTGGCATTGATCTGGGACCAGCCCAGGACTTTCTCAGGGCTACAGTGGGGCATATAGAGGGAGGGCTGAAGTAAAGAGGCTGGAAAAATAATCAGAGCTTCACGGAGGCCAGGCTGACCTTCCTGGAGCTCTTTCAGGGCATCAGCCTCTCATCCCTCTACCTATCACTGTTCAATGAGGCCCAGAGAGGGACAGCAGCCAACTTGTGGCTGAACCCACTGTTAATGGTTGTGTGAATTGGGAACTTGGAGCTGGGGACAAAGAAGTCACTCACTACTCTCTGACTTTGGCAGGCACCGTTGACCCTATCATCTTTGGTTTCGTAGTATCTGCCATAACATAGAACACATGGCTGGTCCCAAAGATGCGTCTCAGGATCCTCTCTGGGGTCTCAGGAACCTTTAGCTTTGGAGTTTTCTGTGAACGGGCTTTGTCAGGCTCCTGGAACCCAACCAGGGACAGTAAGCTCAGAAGGCCTCAGGGACCACCCGACATCACTTCTACACTTTACTCAGGAACTTTGCCTACTGGAGGAGGTGTGGAGAAGCCTCCTGGTAGAAGGTATATCTAGTCTGGGGTTCAATAGTCCCCCAGTGTTCCAACATTTCTCTAGCCCTGCCTCTCTCCCTGTCCTGTAGTCAAGGTCAAGGAGATGAAAGTCTTTGTCTCCACTGCACCCTCTGTTCTCCTCTTGGGCTTTGGCTGCTCTCACCTTGTGCTCTGTCCATATTCTCAGCACCCCAGCTCAGACCCTACTACACAAGGTTCCTTGTGACTCCCACCCCACCCCCTGCCGACTTCCCTCCGGGACTCGCACATTAAGCAAGCACTTCACCTGATTTCTTCCCATGGCTTCTCACTTCTGTGTGGCCACCCTTCCCATAGTCATCAGAATCGGGAACCTATGTCTCATCAGTCCTCAAGTTCTGTGTTTCACTCCTCAAAATCTCTCCACTTGGGCTGGGCATGGTGGTGCATACCTTTAATAACCCCGTTTTAGAGGTAGAGGCAGATGGATTTCTCTGAGTCTATAAAACAAACAAACAAACAAACAAACCCAAAAACTTTAAGAGAACAACACCCCCTCCCCCAAATCTTTCTGCCCTCTCCTTTAGGATGGGAGGCCAGTCACTCCTTCTCCCCTCCCACACCACAAATGATGAACTCTCCCAAGCTTCTCTGAAGGGCTTGACTGGCTCTTCCTCAAGCCTTTCTTGCGGCCCTGCCCTCTGCCTCGGCTTTCGCCTTCTCAGCCCTCACCTTACTCTTGTCTGTCATGGCCAGGTTTCTAGGCTGACTTATGGGTTGAGCAAACTCCAGGGTTCCCTGCCTCCGTTGTTGCTAGGCACCAGCTCCAGGATGCCCATAGGCCCCGCCCATTTGGCCACGCCTCCGAGAGTCACTAGAAACTTAGCAGGGCAAGCCAAGGCCTAAGTCAAGAAAAGAACCTATGGGCAGTGCACGCCGAGGCGGGCCAGGGTAGAAACATAACGAGGTACCAGCCCTTGAGCAAAGGCCGAGCAAAGGCTGGGCCGTACCTGGTGACGCGGTGCGGAGGAATGCACCTAGACACTCGCCCAGGTCCGCGACCCGCCCACTTCCGCCCCGCAGAGACATGGCGGACGCCGAACCTGGCCTGGATAGGGCGTCGCTGAACATGCGGTGATGCTATTGGTTTAGGCCTGACGTCAAGGGGTGGGGTCCTGGCCGTGAATGGGAGTAGGCACATTGAAGTCCGGCCTTTTTCGCCCAGGGATGCGGCCGAGTTGGGCCTTGAGCCGGCAGGTTTCCGAGGCTCGGTTCCCCGGGAAGCGGTGGCTGGTGAGTGGGGCGTGAGCGACTACACAGGGGCTCGGGGCTTGGCCCCGCGGCTGCGGTTACATTTATGTGTATGCGTTGTGTGCATGTGCCGTGTGGCTGTAAGAGGGTAACTTGGGAGAGGGTTCTTTTCACCACGTGGGTCCTGGGGATCGAACCTAGGGTGTCATGATTAGCAGCAAGTACTCTTACCTTCTGAGCCATCTTTCTGGGGTACTTGTCACTTTTCTACTTAGTTAATTAGGTGCAGTATTGACCAGCTCCAAACTTTTAGCTTTGCTCTTGCACCAGGGAGCGGCACCCTCCAGCTGGTGGGGCTTCCAGGAGTTCCCAGGTCCTTAAGCGCTCCCTTCCCAACACTGTCTCGTCTCTCTGTTTCCTGGTCACTGTTTTGGATCCTGTATGAGTGTTGCCCACAGGTGGCTGGCCTGGGGAACCCCGGAATGCCCGGAACCCGGCACAGTGTGGGCATGGCGGTGCTGGGGCAAATAGCACAGCGACTGGGAGTGGCGGAGAACTGGGCTCGTGACTCGCGCTGCGCTGCCGACCTCGCCCTGGCCCCGCTCGGGGATGCTCAGCTGGTACTGCTCCGGCCACGGCGCCTCATGAACGTCAACGGGCGCAGCGTAGCCCAAGCTGGTGAGTTGTGGGTTTCATGGATAAGAGGGCATAAGGACCAGAGAGAGGGTTCAAGTGCCTGGCGAGCTGCAATTACTACAGTGAGAGCTTGGGAAGCCTGTTTATATATGGGGGTTGTTGTGGTCCCTCTGAGATGTGCAGTAACTAGGGTGTTGTTTCCTTGTGCCAAGCGGAGCTGTTTGGGCTGTCTGCCGAGGAGATCTATCTGGTGCATGATGAACTGGACAAGCCTTTGGGAAAGCTGGCTCTGAAGCTGGGGGGCAGCGCAAGGTGAGGCTCTCATGAGCATAGGTTTGGGTAGGGATGTTGGCCTCTGTTGGGGTGGAGTAAAGTTGTTAAGCCTATCTATCTCTATAGGCTGGGCTGCTCTGAAGGAGGTCTGGGCAAGCTAACGGAATACTAACTCCTCTTCATATCCCCCCCAAGGGGCCATAATGGAGTCCGTTCCTGCATTAGCTGTCTGAACTCCAATGTGAGTCTACCCTTCTGCTCTGCCCTGGGTTGGGTGGCCAGCATTGTGTCCCCATTGTATCTCACCAACACACCCTCATTCCCATGGCACCCTACAGGCAATGCCAAGGCTGCTGGTGGGCATCGGGCGCCCCACACACCCTAATATGGTGGAGACCCATGTTCTGGGCTGCTTCTCCCCGGAGGAGCAGGAACTACTGTCCCCATTGATGGACCAGGCCACTGACCTGCTCCTGGACCACATCCGTGCTCGAAGCTAGGGACCATTGTCAGGCCTCTAATACCAGTGGATATATCTACCTGTTTGACTGCCTGCAGGTGCCCTGAAGCCACAGAACTGCAATGACACATGTGGTACCCAATGTTTATGTAACTTCTCTGGGTTGCCCCAGGCCACTTGCAGATTCAAGGAAGGACTGTGGCCACACCGGTCTGTTTCTGCGGTGGCTTGGTCTCCCCATGCGCTATTTGCGGTACAGGAAAGGTCTAGGAAGGGTAAATTTTTTGAACCTTTTGAGAGCTCCAGATGGGTAGATCTGCAAGATTAAAAGGCACTGACTTGAAATCGGAAGCTTCCTGTGGGGGCTGGGGGCCAGTGGGGGCTGGCAAACCCTCTTCCTAAGGGGTCATAGGTATTGTGCTTTAGCCTTTTTCTGTCAGGTCATTTGATAGGTGGAGAGGATCAGAGATTCCACCATATCCCTGAGGCCACCCAACTACAACCTGGCAGAAAGAACCAGGGACAGCCGTCAGCTTGCTGTCCCTAGGGTCCCTGGCACCCTACCTCATTAGTGTTCTGTAACTGGCAGATCCCCATCCGGGTGACATACGACAGAGGTCTGAGATCCTGGGGTTTGGGTGGGATGCGGACCCGACGGCGAGGCACCAGCCCAAGATCCCCTGGCTGGTAGGTGGTGATGGTTGAGAGCTGCTGCAGCAGAGAAGCAGCCCCTTCCTTGGGTGTCTGGGTAGTGTGTCGGCTGCGGAGAGGGACCCAGGGTCATCCCCTCCATCCCCACAAGAGGAGGCCCGAGGGTCAGAAAAGTGTTGGAGAGCCAGGGTCTGCCGAAGCGCGCCCCCCCCCCCCCCAGGGCTATCTGCTCACCTCTCTTTGGGTAGGCCCTGGGGCTGCTTGTCCTGGTGGGAACCCTTGTCCAACTGTGGTTTCGAAATCACACCTGAGCTGAGCAAAACCAGCAGTTGCTGTAGCAGCTCCTTGCGCTGCAGTTGGAACACCACGTCGAAGTCACCATCTTCTGCCTCTGCGCGCATCTGTTGGTGTGACATGAGGTGGGTTAAATAACCACGGGTCCCCAGATACCCACCTGCCTCCATGTGAGATTCTCCAGGGCCAGTGCCTGCTTTCTCAGTGCTCCTGGTTTGTGGTGGGACACAAGTTACCAGGCTGGGAAGACTGAGGCTTGGAGTTCTCCAGAGCCTTTGGAGGTTTGAAAAGAATCTTTCTCCTGTTCCTTCCTCCGCCTGCCGCTGCCCCCCAAGGATTTAAGGTGTAAACTGCCACACCTTTTTATTTTATAAGGCACATGAGTTGCCTGGCTGGCTTTGAACTCATTCTGTAACTGCAGTCGGGTCGTGAATTTCGAATCCTCCTGCTTCCACCTCTTCAATCCCTGCTATGATTAGACCCAATTTAGATCCAGAATGAGAAAAGGAGTCTGGCCACAAGGCTCTCCAGAAGGAGGCCCATTACACTCTAGTGGTCTCTCGGTGTCTCCCACTACTTATTTACCTGCACAATGTCTTGTAGTAGGGAAGTGGCCTGGGTCAGGACTGTTTTAAGGTTTGCCCGAACTTTCTGTTCCTTGGTCAGCTCCTCTTGTAGCCGATTTGCCTCTGACCGCTGCTCCTTCAGCTGCTCTTCCAGCTGTTCTTTCTCTCTCCTGGTCCAGGACAAGACAGCACGCAGCTTGCCCCATCTTCGCGTGGGCAGGCACCACCTCTTCCCTGCGTCCTGCCTTTTCCATGCAGCCTGTCTAAATCCAGGCTTCAACTCCTGACAGTCCAAGCCCTAAGGCTCTAGGCAAAGGCATTCCCGGCAGACTCCCATCTGCTCCCACCCAGCTCTGGCTCACCTCAGGGTCTGGTTGTCCTTCTGCAGATTCTGGAAGTTCTGTTCCAGTTGGGACAGCAGGAGGCGCAGTTGCTCTGCCTCCTCTGTGCCCTTTCTCTGTTGGCGGCACTTTTCTGTCAGCATGAGGATAATCTGCAGCAGTGGGCAGGGATTACAGACCCATTGTGAGACCCCCCGCCCACGTCTAGCTCCCTTTTAAAAATACAGCTTAAGGGGGCTGGTGAGATGGCTCAGTGGTTAAGAGCACTGACTGCTCTTCCAGAGGTCATGAGTTCAAATCCCAGCAACCACATGGTGGCTCACAACCATCTGCAATGAGATCTGATGCCCTCTTGTGGGGTGTCTGAAGACAGCTACAGTGTACTTATAATAAATAAATAAATAAAGTTTAAAAAAAAAAAATACAGCTTAAGACTTGTTCCCATGTCCAGGCAGGCCAACACCACCTCTGCACAACAGCTGGGCAGGAGATGGGCTCTACTCAGTTATGGGACAAACAGACTGCAGAGCTAGGGTCAGCATCCCAATGTGGAAAGCCTGGGACCTCACTGCAAACTATCTCCACTCGTGACTCGGTTCTGGCATAGGGTCCGCCCTCATTTCACACGAGCGGGACACGATAGTCATACCTTCTGATTGCCTATGTTCTTTCTGGCCATGATTTCTTGGGTGTTCTCCAGCATCTCCAGCTGTTGGCACAGCTGGCCCTGGGCGCCCTTGAGCTGCTCATTCTCCTGCAGCAGCCGCACACCTTGCTGGGACACCTTGGTCAGCTGCAGAGTCACATTGTTGTTCTCTAGGATGGCCCGCCTGGTCGTCTCCCACATCTGGTTGGTGGCCACCTTGCGGAACTCGGTGGCCACCAGGTTCACACGCTGGATGATCTCTTTCCTCAGCCTTGCCAGGACGGTAGGGTTGGGAGTCAAGTCTTGGTACTCCCCTTTTTGGGGGTCCCAGAGTACCCAGGCTCTTCCCCCAAAGAATCTCTGGGCCTTTGGAATTTGAACCATGGAAACATTCTTACCTATTAAATAAACACCAGAACAAGACGTGACAAGAGGGCAGGAGTGTCCAGTGCCAGCCTGGGCACTTTCATCCCCACCCCCATAAGTCCCAATCAGGGTTCTGGGGGACAGAGCCTTGGAGTCCATGGTTCCCTTCTAGAAAGCTGAGGAGAACTGAGGTATGCTGTGGCCACAGCAGGCCCCCAGCCTGCCCACCTGTCCTTGTCCAGCACAGACTTCTTCTCCAGGTTGTACACGTAGTCCTTGTACTCGCCCTCCTGCCTGCGCAGCTGCTCCTCCAGCGCCATGTACTTCTCTGTGAGTTCCTCCTTCTGCAGCCGGAATTCTTCCAGGGAACTTAGCTTGACCCCTGCCCATCAGGGCCACAAAGCTGGTGAGGAGCTGCTGCTGAGAGCCTTGACTGACACCCCTCTGAGGTCTCAGTTTCCCCTTGTGTTACCTCCCCACCGTCCCCAACAAGACTGGTCTACCTGTGCCATGGCTGGCCCTGCACGTCCACTGCATTTCTCTGGGGTGCCTTACCACACACTCTAATCTCAGCAAACCTTGTTCAGATCCTCCTCAACAAGTCCCCCTTGAAATCTCCCTACATAAGAGTGACCATGACGACAGCAGCCGACCCTGGGCAGTCTCAACCTCCCCTTTCAGATGGGTGGCATAGGTAAAACCCTCCGTCCTTTTGGAAGCATTTCCTCATCTATAAACCAGAGAGGGGAGAGCATTTCTGGCCTTGGGAATGCATAGACAATTAAGGCGGACAGTGTTTGAAGTGGCATACAGCTGTTATTACCCAAGGTAGCTGTGGTATACCCAGTTCCCAGGTGAGGGCCTGCCACAGCCAGTGACAGCTGTGGATTTAGGCCTTGCTGCCTTTAGTGGTAAATTCACTCAGGTGTGCCAATGGGTCCCCTGGCCCCCTCACCAAGGGCGATGTTCTCTGTGGTGAGCTGGTCCTTGGTTTCCTGGAATTCGTGGCGCACCTGGGCCAGTTGGGCCTCGAAAGCATCCTTCTCCATCTCCTTGGCCACCTGCAGGCTCTGCAGCTGGTCATTAAGGTCCGTGATCTCATCCACCCTCTGGTTCAGTGTGCGCTTGAGGAAGGCCACAATTTCCTTCTTGTTGTTGGCCAGCTGCTCGAACTCCTGACGGAACAGCTTCTCCTGCACAGCCAGTTCATCCCATTTCCGCTGATACCTGGGCAGGACAGGGCAGAGACGCGGGGTCAAGCCAGGGCCTGCTTTCCCAGACCTTTCCATAAAGGGCCATCTGAAGTTTCCCATAGTCTGAATCTCCTATCATGCTTCACGCCTGGAGACCTTAACCTCCAGCCTGTGCTCAGCATTTACACATCTTTCTGTTTTAAAGATGTGTGTGTGTGTAAAGAAGCCTGAGGTCAGTCTAAAGTATGACAGTTTGGCTAGGCTGGGGAGCTGGGGAGCTTCAGAGAGCCCCTCCTGTCGAGGTCAGGATTAAAGAACACAGGACACTGCCATTGCCTGGCTTTTTTCAAGGTTCTGGGATTTGAACTCTAGCCTTTCTCATTGCTTGTCATCTCCCTAGCAAACATTTTATATTTCTTCTTAAGTTTGTGTTGTTCTTTTGAGACAGGGTCTCACTATATAGTTCTGGCTATCTTGGAATTCACTGTATAGATCAAGCTGTGCCCCCCCCTCCCCAACCGACTCTGCCTCCTGAGTGTTGGGATTGAAGGTGTGAACCTAGCCATTTGCACCCCCACCTCTTCATCTCAGGATCTAACAGTTTGGCAAATATTAAATAATCAGTAGCCGGGCAGTGGTTTCTCACGCCTTTAATCCCAGCACTTGGGAGGCAGAGGCAGGTGGATTTCTGAGTTCGAGGCCAGCCTGGTCTACAGAGTGAGTTCCAGGACAGCCAGGGATACACAGAGAAACCTTGTCTTGAAAAACCAAAAATAAATAAATAAAATACATAATCAGTAACCGTGTTAAATGTATTTTTCCTGATACATTTTATCTAGTGCCTTAGGTCAAAGGACATTTGTTACTTTTATTTATTTAATTAGTTATTGGAGATAGGGTTTCTCTGTGTAGCACTGGCTGTCCTAGAACTCACTCTGTAGACTAGGCTGGCCTCTAACTCACAGAGATCTTCCTGCTGCTGCCTCTCAAGTGAGTGCTGGGATTAAAGATTAAAACCACCATACCTGGCTTTGATTTGTTTTGTTTTCCCCAAGACAGGGTTTCTCTGTATAGCCCTGGTTGTCCTGGAACTCACTCTGTAGACCAGGCTGGCCTCGAACTCAGAAATCCTCCTGCCTCTGCCTCCCAGGTGCTGGGATTAAAGGCGTGCGCCACCACCCCACCGCCCGGCTGGCTTTTATTATATCCATTATTAGTAGTAGTATTTTGGTTTTGACATTTGTAAGTTCTTCTTAGAGATTTATTTGTTTATGTATGTGAGTGCACT